CCCCCCCCCCCTCGGGTCAAATTAAAATAAAAAAATAAATAAAGTTAAAAAAGATAATTAAAAAAAAAAATCCCTCTAAAAAAAAAAAAAAAAAAAAAAGAGAGAGCCTTTCTCAAACTTTCCATAATCTAGATTGCCCTTTCTCTCTTTGGCTTTTTTTTTTCTAGGAGCATCTCCTAGGACTGATATTCTTTATATTTATTTTAGAAAGTGCCATCCTACGTTGTTAGTTTAAGATACTGTGTATTAAGGCAAATGTTGAGATTGCTATAGTATTTTTTATTTTTACAACTCTGGATAACTGATCTAAGTTTTGGATAAACCAGTTAGGTTGATACTTAATCTTATACTTTTTTTTTTTTTTTTTTGGAGAGATTTTCACTGTAGGGCGCATGCGCTCGCCAGACAGACATAGAGACAGAAAGCGAGAAATCACCCCCCAGGGGGGAAGGTCACGTCGCAATCCCTTCTCCTCCATTCTCCTCTCGGGATCTTGGGCACGCACGCACACGCGCCTGGCGTGAGTTTTTTAAGCCACCGGGTCCGGGACACGAACCGCAGTCGACTACGTGGGAATCCAGCAACATAGCCATTACGCTAACTGCTGGTTCCCCTTAATCTTATACTTTGAAGAAATCTTTAGAAGAGAAATTGAGTTTTAAATTGTTTATTCTGATAGCCTGATGTTATATTTACAAGGTACTGACTTTGTTCAAAAGCAGAATTAGATAACTATAGATTGTTAAATATGAAGTTTACGAGTTAAATCTCTCATCACACAAAATAATTATGAGTTGCACTTATGAAAGTAATATTCATTTTAATTAATTAAAAAATCATGTGTCTTATTAAATTTGGAAATTGAGTAGTACATACAGATGTTTTCATGTTAATGGATAAATACTTAAATGAAATAATAATAATAATAGCAAATAATATAATCTCTCTATATATTAATAAATTTGCAAATTGCGAGTATAATTCTTGATCTAATATAAGACTATTCTTACTTCTGTTTTTCATATAACTTGCTAACAAGTGCAGGAGCTATTATTTGAAGAACTACACATATGTTACAGTTCTGTTGCTCTAAAATTTATCAGCTGAAATATTAGCAAAAATATGGAAAATAATAATCAACCTAATGTAATTATACACATAAAACTCTACCTAATTTTACTAAGATAATAATTCATTTTATTACTTTAAAATAACTTGATAAATTCAATACAGGGTTTAAATATCACCTATGTTTTGTTTTTTGTATTTTCTTAGGGTTTTCTTTTTTTTTTTTTTGAGCAAATCACAACTGTCTGGCCATTCAGTGTGTAGAATAATCTATGTTAATTAGACATAGAGACTAGTCTCTGTAGTTATCCATGTAAATACTCACAAAATGGAAACTTCCTAATAGTTTACTTGTTTATTTTGGATTATTCTGAAAATACTAGTAGAAGCTTTAAGTAAGAAATTTTGGTGTTATTTGAAATAGTTTGCATGAGTTACTTAATTACTTAGTAGTATGAATGAAATTTTATTATTTTCTTTTCTATAAATGCAGCCTATGTTTCAGATACTTATATCATTGTTCTCTGCCTTCTTCAATAGATTATATTAGAAACTGCATCATTGGTAAAGGAGGAAGCTACAAGGGAACAGTGTCTATTACTAAGAGTGGCATCAAATGCCAGCCATGGAATTCCATGATACCACATGAACACAGGTAAGAACAGCATGAGGAAAAGAGGCTGGAGCCTATCCTTTTCATGTGTTAACAATCTCACAATAGTCCTTCAGAATAGTTCTACACTTCTATAATAACTTAGCCAACTTTGCTAAGTTAGACCCAACTTATGTGAACTCATGACTTTTATTTACCCAAAGATTAATACATTCATTAAAATGTACCCTAATGCTTTTATACCTAGATGCTTCATTGTATACATCTTGGTATTTTGAAGAAATGATAAAAAAATATATTAAAATATTTTTTCTTTTTGCTTTTGAGCAAGTAGATTACTATGCAACTACAGAGGTTGACTATGATACATCAGAGGTGGACCAGAATCTGATCTGATTAGGGGCCGAGTGTTCTTTAACCTTGGTGGATCCCAACCTTGGCTGCACATTGAAATTACCAGCTTCAAACCTGGAAGTATCCCCAAACTCAGTGGAAACAAACCAATCAGATTATCTGTAGAATAAGGGACCATTTTTTTAAGCTTCTCAGATAATTCCAAAGTGCAACCAAAGTTGAGAACCATCACTAAAATCTCATGCCACAGACTGATTGCTTTTAAAATTCATTCCTTGAAAATGAAATAAAATGAAGAGGACAATTGTATTCTTTATAACAGATGAAAACTATTTGAAGATGAGTAACATAATATTCGTAGGCTCATTAGGCTGAGAGTTTTAATCATGGGGGAAAAGTATAGATAGCTACTGCTTGCTATAGAACTAAATATAGTTTCAGTTTTCAAGACTTATTTGACAAATAATTTTAACAGAAACTAATGTTTTAAATAGTTCCCCCCTGGTTAGTAAATGCATTGGAAGATCTAATTTACCATGTGCCAAGTAGCTTGCTGAGTATTTAACCTTATTTACTTCATTTACTCCTCAGAAGAACCACACAGTGAGTTTTTATTTTGTTTTGTTTTGCTATAGGGCATGTGTACTCAACAGAGAAAGAGAGAAAGAGAGAGAGAGAAGGGAAAGTGAGAAAGTACCACCAGAGGTGATGGTCATGCAATCGTTTTTCCTCCATTCTCCTTTTGGGATTTTGGGCACTTCCAAATGTGTGCCCAGCCCAAGCATGTTTTCCAGCTTAAGCTTGTTTCTCATGCTACTGGATCCAGGACTCAAACCACACAGTTGGCATTGTGGGATCCAGGCACCTGAATGACCATGCCACTGACTGGCCCTAATTAATTCTATATTATATACAGGATGAGACTGACACACAAAGAACCTTGGTAACTTTTTAGGTCATACACAACTAGTAAGTGGTATGGCCAAAAAATAAACCTAGCCAGTACCACTCTGTGGTTTTTGTTTGTCGTTTTTTCCCATGAGAGAGAAGGAGAGAGAAAGAGTGCGTTTATAGTACAGTGTGGAAGTGCTATGGAGAAGGAGGTGGATCCCCACACAGCTGATACCAGCAGCTAAAAAAACACTAGGAGCACATATGCATATCCACGATCCTGATAAGATGCAGAATTAGAGAAAAAAAGCTCTGTGGTATAAACAGGTCACATTAAGGAGTGCTTACTATCTCTCTGTTTCTCTCTCATTATGACATCTGAAAAAAAAAAAAAAGAAAGTGAGAGAAAGGTGAGGAAGCCAGAGAGACTTTTTTTTTTTTTTTAAAAAAAGGAGATTTTTGCTATAGGCCATGTGCACTTGCTGGAGAGACAGAGACAGAGAGACAGAAAGTGAGAAATCACCCCACCCCCCTCACCCCCCCCGCAGAGGGGATTGCCACACTTCAATTCCTTCTCCATTTTCTTCCTGGAACTGTGGGCACACACACACACACACAAACGTGCCTGGTGTGAGTTTTAAACTGCTGGGTCCAGCACTCAAACCATGGTCGACAACATGGAAGTCCAGCGACATTATCATTATACCATCTGCTGGTCCCACCAGAGAGACTTTTGACAGGATCTTGCCATTTCCTAATTTCCTGACTCTGCCTCCAAGTTAGGTAAAATTATAAGCATACATCACCATTGCTGGACTATTTAGATTGGGTTGAAAATTGAACCTGGTCCAGAAGGTGGCATGGTGGTTAAGAGCGCTGGACTCCCACATGGCTGAATGCAGTTCAAGTCCTGCACAGGGAGGCTTGCTTTCTCACTTTCCTTCTCTCGCTCTGTTTCTCTCTGGTCAAATAAAAATAAATTAGTAAATGAATAAAGTTGAAAAAAATAATTCTTTTTTTAAAAAAGAAAATTGAACCTGGACCTCCACTGTGGCCTCAGTCTTTGAGTAGCAGAATTCTGGTAGCACACATCCGCAGCTTAGCCTATAACCTGTGCTTTTAACAACCCAAGAGCATGAAACACCTGGCCTATCAGTAGGGCACAAGATGTGACTTGATTCTGCAATAGTAATGATGACTTTGCATTGATAGATCGACTTTTATTTCATTTCATTTTTGAGGGGCATAATTTGCAAAATGATTTTACTTAGTAAACACAGGATGAATGAATTGACCGACATTAAAAAGAAAAGAGTGAGTGCCTCCATACTGGCATCAAACCTGTGATCGCTGTCTAATTAATGTCAGCTGGTTAAGTGTCCAGGACGATGGGCTCTCCAGTACAGTTCAGTAACAATACTACCATTTCCCCAAATTAGTTAGTTATAATTTTACAACAATATTTCTGAAACATAGTATCCTTGTATTATTAAAAACATGTAAACAGTATAGGTGGTTTTATTCTCTTTTATGGATTTGCATGGTGTTACTCCCTACATAGGGAAGAACATGTTTTATTTAAATATATTGATCTAAGATTTTCATGAACAAAGGAATAGTATTTGAAATCAATCCTACCTTAGTCCAGGAGACTGCACTGGACTAACCTAGTTGAGGTCCTATTTCAACCGAAATTCTCTATGATTGTAATTCTTTGCTGAAGGAGTAAATGTGAAATAGATCTCTCTGGGAACTGGTTTTCCAGCCCAATCAGCTATTTTACCAGTGAACATTTCCTTGTGATATAGAGGTTTATGACCAAGAGGATTTTGTATATTAATCTTTTTTTTTTTTTGGCATTTAACTGGAGCCTCACTTAATTTTCATCAATTAGCAGTTTATTGGAATACCTGCATGATAACTTAACACTTTTAAGTTAAGTGTTAACTGAAGATTAATTTTATGGGAAATGGAAAAAGAAATATGCCTCTGTCTGGAGGAGTGATTTATTGTCAACTTTCTAAATTGAAATATTTTATAAGTGGCTTAATAGGAAGATGATGATAGATGATGAAATTAGTAGAGAAACTTAACCAGAAAATCAGGTGACCTGATATCTACATCTGCATCCTTCATTGGCCATCCAGCATTCATTAATGAAGCAGATGATGGAATAGATCAAGTTCCTTATGAACACAGTTAATATTAAAAGAAAAGAAAGAGAGGCCAGCATCCACACAGTCTAGCTTACATTTCAAAGTATATTTGAATATAACCCAATATTAGATACTTCACTTACCTTTCTTAAAGCCTTGCTAAAAAGTAAAAAGAGAGAACTAAAAATAGTATGTATGCAAATAATAGTTTAAGTGAAAAGGCTATGCTTCATTCTTTGCCCACATATGGGATACTAAAGAAAAGCATATTCAATACCTTGAGACACCAAATTAATGAGTTAACTTGGGTAAAAACGTTAAATACACCTAAAGATGAAGAGATGACATAGCTAGCCATATAATAAAGAGGGATATAATAATGGTTTGATTCAGAATTGTGGAAAGAAGCCCATCTTTTCTCTTCATTTTTCATCTCATTAACTCCAGTAGAAAGTCTCTTTAGCCAGATCTAGTTTTGATTCCTACTTTATCTCTCTTCCTTCCTACTTGTATCTTTCCTACTAAATTGTTGATTGATTAATTCACTGCTTCTTTACAGCTTCTTTTTGGCTTTACAAATCCACTGGAAAGGTATATATATTAATATGTGTGTGTAGTTCTATGTGTATGTGTGTGTGTGGGGGCAACAAAAATCTCTAAAACTGTAGATATCGAATATGTGTATATATAATTTGCTAAAACAAATATGTAATTTCATCAGCCAACTTAATACATAAAATGACATAAAAAGGGGGAATTTATGATACTTTAGTTCATTCTACTCATCTTGTAAGTAAATGTAAAGAAATTGAAACCCAGAGAGAAAACAGTTTAAGGATTAAGCTTGTAAACAAACTGAGTGATAGATGTGGGGCAACATTACAGGTTTTGTGATTAAAAAGAACTTGACCTTACCACTCCATTACACTATGCTTTATTGTGGTCACAGAAGGATTTTCTTGCATTAAATTTACTATAAAAAGTTGGAGAAATGTCGAAAATGCAAGAAACGAAGTTTCAAGCAGTGGCACAAAATACATGTTAGAATATCCTGAAATGAGTTAAAACTGAGAAAAAAGACAAACGACTTTTTAAAAATTAATACTATTAGGAACTGTGAAATTATGATGAGCTTTAATTGCATTACAGTTTTTGTCAGATATATGGCCTAATGCTTATTTTTGTTTCCTCATATTTAAAATGGTAATGAAGTAAGGATATATACTTATTTAAGGTACTTTGGATTGCATAATATTTACAATATTCAGTTGGTTCTTTGAAAATGTTTAGTTAGTAAGAAGTCTAGTAAGTAGACTATTTATTTTTGATCAATAATTTATATTTCTGGAAGACTTAACTTTGGTGTACATTGATGTCCAAATAAAAAACAATTTATTGCAAAATGTTGCTTGGTACCTGATACATATTTGTTTGTGTCACAACATAAAGAAAATTGATTTTTTTAAATTAAAATTTTCATTGAGTAAAGAACACACTGAATTATATATACTGAGACACTACACTACACTAAATTGGACTATACTCCAATTTAAGTACTATCTAGAACTCCGAGATCAGTACAACTAGCAATAAAGCTATAGAGTACACACCAAAATGAATATTAAAAATGCAACTAAATTTTCAGGACCAGCAGTTAGCATAATGGCTATCTCGCTGGACTCCCACGTAGTTGACTGCGGTTCGGGTCCCGGACCCGGTGGCTTTAACTCAAACCAGGCGCGTGTGCATGCGTGCCCTAGATCCCGAGAGGAAAACGGAGGAGAAGAGATTGCAGCATGGCCATCCCCCTCGGTGGTGATTTCTCGCTGTCTGTCTCTCTGTCTCTCTCTGTCTGTCTGGCAAGCGCACGTGCCCTATAGCAAAAACCTCTCAAAAAAAAATGTAACTAAATTTTCAAAAAAAATGTACTAGTGTTATCTATAGAAATATATTCTTTATTATGATTTTGTTTGTGGCATTCTAACAAACAAATGGACCATCATTACATCTAATTTCACAAGCAATAAAAAATTTAAATAAAATGGTGTTGACCTTTTCTGATGTGTTAAAATACTTTATGCTGATAACCAAGCTATTTTGCATATATACACACACACACACTCACACAGACATATATATGTGCATGCATATATGTATATACATTATATATATGTATATATATACATGCACATATATATTATATATGTATATATACATATTATGTATATAATATAACTAGAATATTAAAAATTTTAAGTTAAGGCAATGTATTACAGTTACTACACCCTAAGATCTACTATTATGAACCAAAATTGGGAGCATCAAGACTTAGCATAGTCAAAATTGTCAAATTTTTTAAAGAGAATAAGCAATTCTGTTTTATATTAAGAGGAGAGACTGCACAGTGTGGACTGTGCTTATTAAAGGAAAACATTTCTTAACTGTCAGTTACTCTTACATCTCTCTGAACTTCTCAAAACAACTATGTAAAACGGAAGTTATGGTTATACCTGAAGTACAGGTAAGCTAACGCTAGGAGAGAATCTAAGTTATTTGCTGGGTTCTTACAGCAAGAAAAAGAGCTGAAATTTGAGTTCAGGTTTAATTTGATTCTGAATCCTTTGTTCATGTTACTTCATCAATCTGTTTCTCAATTATGTAGGAAAAAAAGGGGCCATTCTTCATAAGAAAAGTGATAATCAAGTCATGATCTCGGATAAGTTGTCTTGGATAAGTGAGATGTTAAAGGCCCATTGCAATGTTTTCTGTTTCCTCCTAAATGGCTTTGCTCAATGGCTTGCTCCCTTTACATGGAGCTCTGAGGTTGTGGTTCAAGTAACATTAAGTTCTAGAATGTTTGGCTCTTAGCAAATTCTGAGTCTAATCATTCTAGCAATATTGAATATGGAAATTCAGTTAGGTAAATGTTAAAAGCCTCAAGAATTTTAAGAATAAATTGAAATTACAGAATTCAACTTAAAATATATGAAAGTATATGAGATAGGATAAAGGGTTTCCTACTTGCAGGAAATAACATACTCGCTAATTAGTAAAATTAATAGGCCGAAAATAAAGTTGCATGCTCTTATACTGTAATGATTATCATTTTAAAACTAGCTTTTTGCCTTCGAGCTATCGGGGTAAAGACCTACAGGAAAACTACTGTCGAAATCCTCGAGGGGAAGAAGGGGGACCATGGTGTTTCACAAGCAATCCCGAGGTACGCTACGAAGTCTGTGACATTCCTCAGTGTTCAGAAGGTAAATGAGCCTGAATGCCATGTGGGGCACTCTGGTCCCCCTAATGTGTAGACTGTAACACATTAAAGGTTAATAGAAATGAATCAATCATAATAAATACATTGTTCACTCAAATGCAAATAATAATTATTTGAGGATGTTTACACAATGTTTTTAAAACTACCTGATGATCATCAGATTAATGCAAAATAATGAGGTGAGTTAGCCTGAGACATACCTCTGGGAGATCTTGTAAAAAATTCACTTAGTCCTGAGCTCATACCTCAAAGTCTCCCTACTTATGCCACCTGAAAGGGGCTGAATGAAACTTAGCCGTTTATTAGTGGTGCTAATTATATTCATCAAACACCTGCTTCCCAAGTTTTCTAAGCTATTCTGAAGAGGTGTAAAAAGGGTATTATGAACCCAGAAGTGAAAATGTAAGAAGTGAACACTAGAAGCTCAAACTCCACGTGTGTTTTGGTGAAAATGTGACTAACACCAAGTTTGACACACACACTGGAACCGAGTACCATTCAGAATATATCTGAAGAGATAAAACAATGGATTCCAGGCTGTCTTGAGACAGATACCTTAAATCCGTGTCTGTGTTTTACATCTCTCAACATAGAAGGACACAGTCTTTACTCTTATAGTGGAGAGCTGAATGATTACGAAGATGGAAGATTGTATTTCAGCATTGTATGTGGTTTCATTTTTCTTAGTTATCAGGCTATGGAATGGCTGGGTTTTTCAGTTGAGTCAGAAACTCTAAAATTCCAAAAATCTAAGTGAAACATGGATGAAATTCTGTGAGAAATTTATTAAGATTTTGAAATATTTGGGGAGGGGAGGCTGCTGGAACAATGTCGAAGTTTCATAAAGATATCTTACCTGTTTGTTATAAACCAAATATTTAAAAAATATATTTTCTCCATAAATATCCATTTAATATCAGGTTAACATTTAGCACATTAAGAAGTAAAGGCCATTGTTAGAAAATTGTCACAGAGAAAGTGAATTTGCTTTCTGTTGTTAGTTATTTTAAAATCATGACTTGATGTGTAAGCCAGTTTCATCTCTGTTTGTAAATTCTTACTTTCCATTCCACATCATATTCTGTTCCCTATAATTTCTTTATTGTTTTCTTTTCTTTTAAAAATAATAAACTTATCTGTGATAACGTTATGAACAAGTCTGTTTTGTATGAATAAGCCTGTAATTGATATTTGTCTTAAATTTGTACATGGCAGGAAAAACCCTGTTTTTAGGAGAACATTCACTATATAGTGTTCTGAGGTTGAAAGTCATTGGCAAAGAATTCTGTTCATTAGTTTTATTTGACCTGGCAAAGTGTTTTCAGAGGCTGGTAACTTGGTCAAACCATAAACAGTTTGGCATTTATGCTACCTGTCTAATCCTGGTAAGGATATGATTTTCAACTCCTGGTTTACAAGACCTTTCATCCAGATACACTGGTCAAGGTCTGGACTGATCATTGACATAGAATAAAATTTTTAGAAAAGAAGTGACTGAAAGTAATTCCATAGTTATCCTCATATTATCACACTGTAACTAATTTTTTTAAATTTGAGGTCATCACACCTTTCTTAGGAAAGAACATCGCTCATTGATCTTAATGGCACCTGAAGCTATTGGTCACTGTGGCACTAAAAGTTGCAGTTATGCTCTTTCTGGAAACAACAAGAGATCTGACAATAATACAAAAACCCTCCTCTGGGAAAAATGAACCAGCACCTGCCCTGGAGGTTAAATATAAGCCAGGGAGTGTGAATTGAATTGATAGATTAAATTCAAGCTAAAATGGGCAAAGTTTTAGCAAGGTTTTCATGAAGAAGATCCAAAATAATAAATATTGTCAATACATTATAGAGAAAAATAGTTGTTTATAAAATGGATAATGTAAAATATATGTAATCAAAATATATGTAATCATGTGGATATGATATGAATTTCTACTAAAATACATATATATGAAGAAGTCTTAAAATCCAGAATGCATTTAATAGTATAATATATTACCTATTTGGATATTAATGGGTATTAATATCCATGGATATTAATTTACTAAGTGGCAAGTTATAAAGGTTTTATCATTTTGACTAAGGAAGTAATTATCAAAATGTTTTATATATTTAAAATTGAATGAATATCTGTGGCCAAACTCTGAACTGTTCTTTTGGAAAAGACACATAGAACAGTTTATATTATTTGAAATTGTTGTAACTATATTAAAGTGTTGTCTGAATAATCATCTAAAATTAGTCTAAAATTTTGGCTCATAAAAGAATTATATCTGACATACAATGAGTAATATTATTGTTTCATAATTTAAAACTTTTAAATACATTAATCGTTCCAAAGGAAATTAATACTTTCTTATCCCATTTAGAATCTTTTAGTTAGATAGGAAGATTACATGTTCAAGTGATTTTTTGTACAACATGGTGATTACAGTTAATAACGCTATGTTGCATTCTTGGAAAATACTAAAAGGCTGAATGTTAAGTATTTTTACCACAAAAAATGGTAACTGTGTGAGGTAATGCATATACTAACTGGCAAAATTTAGTCAATCTACAATGTCTATATAATTCAAAACATATTACGCAGCATAAATACATAGTTCTACCTGTCAATTAACAAAAAGAACTTCTACATAATTATGTAAAGAAAATACTACCAACTAATGCTTAGTTCAAAATTTATAGAAACATGAGGCATGTAAAACCAATTTTTTGCTTGAGTATTTGCTTGGGACTTAAAAGAAAATAATAATTATTGGAACAGATGTCCTTTGAAATGACTGTCAAACATCCAAGTAAATACATTTCAATTAAGTCATTTTTTTAAAATACTTTAAATTTAAAATCTGAAGTAATACTACCATAAAAATGTGTGTAATTACATACTCTATGTGGAGAAGGACTTTTACAAACAATGATTTAAATAAAACTATTATTTGTAAGTGTGGATTTGTGAGATTCATATTTTAAATTCTGGTTTGTTTAAGTAATCATCTTCATGAATTTTTCTGGGAGATTACTTTTACTGAAATAAAATAAACATTGACTAAAAACAGGTTGAGGTACTGTCTTAATCTATAAACTCACATCACTTGTGGTTTTATGACAGAGATAAATTGAACACAATTTTGAGTTAAGTTGGTTAATATGGTAAGGTGTTAAATTAATCTTACATATTATAATTTATGTGTAGTTTTTTTTTTTTTTTACCATTATTTAGTCTAGAATTATACTTAGGAAAAAAATAATACTTATGAACAGAAATTATTATTTAGCTTATGTAGTTTATGTAATCTACACCAGTATTTTGTTTTTGTTTTTAAAGAGCAGAATTTTCTGGAATGGTTAAAATAGTGGACTGATAATGCTAGAGAGAGCTGAGGACAATCCTCACCCTTTTTGTACTGTTACATAGTTCACACTTTTCACCTGTTTCCTTGAGTAGGTGAACTTGGTTTCAACCTGTACTGCTTGACTTTGAGCTAGGAAAACTTAGAAGAATCTTGGAATTCCGGAAGTTTGAAAAGTGAATATGAGTTCAAAATTTGGCTTTCTTGAGGTAATTTTTATAATTAACCTGATGGCTTGATTCAATGGTAAAACAACAAACTTTTCAACTGTTTACCTTCAATGAAATGGCCAATGTAGTTGCATTCTTGTGCCCATTAACAGTTGAGAATCAACCTGAAGGGTGATGCATTGTTTTAAACAAAAGTCAGAGGGTAATGGGGACAATGTTGAAAATGGCAGGGTGAGACCTGCCCAATAGCTTGGTATTTAAGGGAACTGGATCTCACATGGCCAAGGGCAGTTTGAATATCATATCTAGCAGATCAGAAACCATGCTAGGCACATGTGTGTGCATGCCCTCAATCTTGACAGGATGAAGAAACTGAGGAAAAGGGATTGCATATGACCATGCCCCATTGGAAGGAGCTTTCTTCTTCTCCCTCTCTCTTTTTCTTTTTCTATTTCTCTCTCTTGGGTGCAAGACTCTGAGGAAATATTTTTTTTTAAAAAAGAAAAAATTAAAGCAGGGATATTGATTTCTTAATCTTAAAGCATAGTCAATTAAAATGTGTAAAAATTAAGTTAAATATGTTGGACAAAAAGGAAATTTAGAATAATTGGAAGAAATAACACTAAATGATGGAGTCAGAAAACCCATATTCCAGACACAATTTTCACATATTCTGTCTTAGATAAGTTCTTTAAAACTTTTGTGAGCTTTGTTTTCCTAATTTTAAGAATCAAATGGTATCTTCTATTATAAAAGCATAAATAATAAAAATATGTAACCATAATACATTTAGCTCTCAGCTCTATCATGGGACACACTTAATTACCCCCAGCAATGACTTTCATTGCCTTCTAAAATCTAACATTACTCTTGCTGGCTTTTATTTATTTTTATCTTATTAAACCCACAACTGCAGCCATAACTCTCTCTTCACTTTACTGCAAACATAACATACTAATTCATGTTTCTGTACCATTTTGTATTATTTTGACCTTTAGTACTTTATCCAACTCTCATCTGGCCTTCAAAGTCCAAGCAAAATCCTGTCTACCTTCAAACATCATTACTGCCATACACTTAAATTTTTTTTTTTTAAACTTAGATCTTTTTGACTAGGTCACATTATCTATAGACTTGCTGCTCAAAGTGAGGTTTAAACACCATCAACATCAGCATCTGCATCCCATGGGTGCTTATGATTTAATGCCCCAGCCCAGATCCACTGAATCAGATTTTATCCTTTCACAAGATCTCAAGGTGATTTTTTATGGACATTAATGTTTGTAGAAGCACTGATCTACCACACTAATTCTGGAAAGTAGTCATCTTACAGAATCATCCATTTCATTTTTGTAGCTGTTTTTCTTTGAGGCTATTGAAAAATCTGTAAATGCAGGAAAAGATTTTATATACAAAAGTCTATAAATAGTATTGTTTCTCAAAAAATAATTCTATTTATTCTCATTAGAAAGGGATATACTTTTACAAACTGTATTGGCTGACATAATATTTTATGATTCCTGAGCATTTATACAAAAGTAGAAATGGTTCATGTGCATATTTACCTTTTATGTGTGACCATAATATTTTATTCTATGTTTTCATTCAATAAAAAAAGCAAACAACAATGATAAATGCTCTACCATTTTCTTTGTAGATATTAAACCTCACATTCTTTTAAAAAAGGGAACTAAATAAGTCTGTGTTGTGTTTGAATGGAAAGTTGAAGTATGTTGATGTGTAACCTATGTTGAACATTTCAATGTGGAAACAATCATGACCCACCTGAGCATCTTTATCAATATGCTCTGAGACCTCTATCCTTTACAGTTCAGGTGCTTATTGACTGTAGTCTGGGGAATCTCAGTATCTGATGAGGGAAAGCTGACTTGGTCCCTTGTCTTAGCTCAGAGATTAAGCTATGTGAAAGGAAGTAGATGGATCAAGCCAAATGGTTGCATTTTTTAAAAATAAAGTTGATAGTTAATATCCTGTTAGATTATGAAAAGTCTGAAAGTAATGATTCTAGTATTTTTATATTCTAAATTACTTCAATTAGGGTAGATTCTGGTGGATAAAGCTCAACACTGGTATCTTTTCCCACTTCAGCTAAAGTTAGATGATCAGTAATGGCAAGATCCAAATGATGTGTTTGGAGAAGTTTTCCGGATTTGTAGAAAAGCCAAGCAATGATTGAATCCACAATTCCTTGCTGTGCAGCAAATCAACCTGTTCACAGAGAAGTGCATTTTCCACGAGTGGATGTGATTCGGAGTTTTCAGTGTTAACATAAGAAGCCAATCAGAAGAGAACTGTTAATTCCCTTCTCATAGACTCATCAGTAGGATCCTGTATAATTAGATCAGGATATACATTTTTTTAAAAATGGTGGATGTAAGAGTTCACTAGCAGGTCATCTAATGACCTGAGCTAAAAAAGAATGCCATTCTACACAGCCTACTCGGTGTGGACGTTCAGAAAGGAGCTCTGATTTCTTTTTTTTTTAAAAAAATGTCTGTGTTATTTGAATTGTACCAGATTTGTATCTGAAGCCAGTCTCTTAAGTATCTGTTCCTGATTACAGCAGTATCCATGGGCATATGACACAAACTCATTTAAACAGTATAATTCCTGTGGGAGTGTTTGGAGGACATGTTGGCAGAGGAGCACCCTTGTGCTGACAATATAGATACTAAGGAGCCTTGCATTTCAGACCAACAAGGGTAAAATTCCAAAAACTCTTCCATTTCCAATTTCTAGGTAACTTTTGGACAGTTATTAAAAACTAGAAAGGTGGTATGCTGGCCCTATGTAAATCTGTATGACACTAATTACAGAAATCCCATTTACACTGTGAAGAGTTCTGTAAAGTGTATTTTATGCCACTATTTATGAACATTAGGCCCCAAGTTAAAGTTAGAATGGTACACAGGGTTTCTTTTTTAAAAAACTGTTTGCTAAATGAGGATTTACTGTTCTTTAAATGGAACAGTGGAGATTTTGCTGTCAGAAACAATTAACATGCCATACTTTAATTTTATTAGTTGAATGCATGACCTGCAATGGGGAAAGTTATCGTGGTCCCATGGATCATACAGAATCAGGCAAGATTTGTCAGCGCTGGGATCATCAGACACCACATCGGCACAAATTTTTGCCCGAAAGGTAAAATACTACTGAATTATGCTTCTGGTAATTTTTCTTTTCTTTTTCCTTCCTTACTACTTTCCTTCCTTCCTTCCTTCCTTCCTTCCTTTGTTTTTTGTACAAATTGTTTGCTCCATGACAATGGAAATACCATGGAAATTCTCTTTATATTATGTTTTCTGGTAGGGCATGAACATAAAATTTAGAACTCCTTGAATGGGGCTGTCCTATGTCCTAGTGGTTAAGGTGGTTGGATTTTACATAGCCAACTGACAGGTGGCTTGCAAAATGTGCTGAGCCCATTTGTATATATATGCCCAAAATTATAAAAGTAGGGGAGAAGTGGAAGAGTAGGAATGTGGCGTGACCATGTCCCATTGGAAAGTACTGTTTTCCTCTCTCTCTGTCTCTCTTTGGGGAATGTATACATCTTCTAATGAACAACAACAAAAAAATAAAATAAAAAAGTCTGCCTAAATGTTCACAATTCTTCCAAAGAATTGCAGGAGCCTTGTTTGAAGGAGGCAGTCTTAGGGCAAAAGACCTTTATGATGAGGTCTATGAAAACACTGACTATACCTTCGACTGCTCTTGGCTGAGTAGGTTAAGAAGCCATAAAATCCTGGATGGTCCTAGAACCATTGGTGGGGCACAAAGTAGAAGCACTAACAGAAGAAGCTTCTTTCTCTTTCATAGAAAAAAAAAACAAAACAAAAGAAAGGGAGAGAGAGAAAGAAAAAAAAGGAGAGAGAGAGAGAAAGAAAAAGAGAGAGAGAAAGAAAGAGAAAGAAAAGAAAGAAAGAAAGAAAAAGAAAGAAAGAAAAAATAAAGAAAAAGAAAGAAAGAAAGAAAAGAGAACAAAAGAAATACAAGGCCAATTTAGTAGTGACTATTTTGACAGGTTGAAAGTGTGGGTCGAGACATTAGTACTAAATATCCCAAATCTTCTATATATATTTAGAGCAACATCTTTAAAGACCCAGATACTGTGGGTCACTTGTGTAACACCATGACATAGGTCATGACCAAAAAAGGGAATGAAAGGTATAGTTAACAATTCTTTGGCTGATTTATTCTGATGACTTTAAAACTGCCAGTGTAGACAGCCAGTTTGGAGCAGTCAGGCAACAGGGGTTATCTTTTTTGGATGGAGTAGAGTTTGGGCTTGACAGTTACAAAAATTTTATATCTACTTTGCCTATTTATTTTACATGAAGCATGTAAGTTGAAAAAGGGGCCAGCAAGTGGCATGGAGGTTAAAATGCTGGACTCCCACATGGCTGACTGTGGTTTAAGTCCTGGACCTAGAAACTTGCTTTCTTACTTTCTCTCTCTCTCTCTCCCTTTCCCTCTCCCTCTTATCTCTCCCTTTCTCTCTCCCTCTATCGCTCCCTCTCACTTTCTGTATGTGTCTCTCTCTGGTCAAATTGGAAAATAATAATAGTAATAAATAAAATTAAATAATTCTTTAAAAAAAGAAAAGGAAATACAGAATTTCCTTTTATAAAAAAAATGAAAATACAGATAATTAGTGGAAATTCCATTTCTTCTTTACTTTGGAAATTACTGGAAAGTGTTTTTTTCTTTCTTCTTTTTCTCTACCAGTTTTATTTGTTGTTTTTTTTTTTAGCTGAAATTATAACTCTGGTTTGTAAAATGCATATCTTTTAAGTGAGAGCAGAAGAGATATGGTAACAATTAAAATCAAGTCACCAATTCAGGACTCTTGTTAATTTAAGGGGAGATGGGAGATGGAGAAAGTGGTATGATGGTTTGTCTTCTGCTCTAGTGGAGATGAGGGCATGACCTAGAAAGGCTCTATTTCTAGAAGTGAGCTATCATTACTAACAGAGCTATTGAAATCCAACTTTCAGTGTGAACTTTAAGTCTGCCCTGAAAGAGGACCAGTTTTCTTACTGAACATTCTTCAGGAGTTCAAATTTATGCAATATGTCCTCAACTGGGCTCTATAAGAAAGGGATTCAGTGTAGTACCTCCACTGTTGGGCAGTGACAAAGGTACCGAAATAATTAGCATAGTGGCTGATACTATAGACTTGATAGAATATATAAGTTAGTAGATTCAGTATTCAATGATAAGTGACCCTTGTAAGGCATAACACAGGAAATCTCTTCCCCCAGCTAGTGGTAGTCAAACTGAGTGGTAAGTTATTTGTGAGCTTAAGGCCGGGTGGTGTTTCCAGGCAGATTTACATGACACTTTTCTTGGTGTGGTTTACAGATATCCCGACAAGGGCTTTGATGATAATTACTGCCGCAATCCTGATGGCAAGCCGAGGCCATGGTGCTATACTCTTGACCCTGACACCCCTTGGGAGTACTGTGCAATTAAAATGTGTGGTAAGTTAGGGTCAAATTTATTGCTTCCTTTTGCTCTCATGGACTGAATCTAAGCAGGCTATTATTAGTTAGACAGGTTAACAGCTATTTTACTTGATCCTTTAGTATGTGCAGGTTTTAATATTTTAAGAATGTGTTACATATTCTTACCTAATCTTTTGAATTTTCAGAGATTCATTAATTTGGAAGAGATAAATACTCAAGTGCATGCATACATACAAGAGATTTTATACTTTTGATAAAGGCTTCTTTTTTTTTTTTAAGGTTTTTTGTTTGTTTGTTTGTTTTTCTATAGGGTGCTGTGCTTGCCAAGAGAATAGTGAGAGGGAAAGTGCTGCAGTCACTTCTATTCTCCTCCTGGGATTTTGGTCACACACACACACGCATACACACACACACACACACACACACACACACATGCTCAAAATGATTGTCAAACCCCCAGATCCAGGACTCCAATCATGGTCGGCCATGTGGGAATCCAGCGCCTTAACCAC